GTTTTAGCTACCATGCTACACCCTGATCGACCCGTCTATTTCCAGACCGTGACCCTTTACTCAGCATACCCTTTTCTTCCTCATTCTTGGAGTGTTAGAAGTTGGATCTTGCATCCTTTTGCCTGCTCCTACTGTAACTTCTACTTTCTATTTTCCTTCCTACCTTCTTCCCAAGCCATTTTCATTAGTCCTAATGCCAAGGACAAAACAGTTGTCATTGACTCTGTCATTCCCTATCACTACTCCTTATTTCCCTCACCTAAAGTGTCTGTTTGCCACAGTACTGCTCTAAAATCTTCCACATATTTTATTTCATTTTATCTTCAAAACATAAGGTGTGTAGGGAAGAACACAAAATTTATATCTCATAAACTATAAACTGAGTATCATGTAGTATAAGTAATGTGTTTGCCCACATTTTCAAAGCTCATCAGAATGGAGACTAAAACTCAGGGATGTATAATTCTTAGTTCAGTGTTTTATGATGCAGAATTGTACAATAGAAAGCATAAGTTTCAAAATAGGTATTCCTGAGATTTGAATTCTAGTCCCATTGCTCATAGTGCGCTGTGATATCCTGGATTAGTTACTTAACCTTTCTAAGCTAAAATCTGAAAACCCAGGGAAGATTTCAGACAATCAGTACAAAAACCTCCTAGAAATAAATGGAAATACATCTAGCTTCAGTTCATTATTTGGATTCAGATGGGCATCTTAAATCCAGGATCTCAGGGAGAATAAAAGCAATTATAACAAGGCAAAATAAAATAGGCTCTTTACACTCAGGTGGGGAACTGCCAAAAAGCACCTCATACATTTTTAAACATTCTCTATTACTATTCTAAACAGTCTTCTGTTACAAGCACCTAGCAGTTCTTTCCAGGTTAGAGATTTTCTTTAAGGGACCATGCCCTGTGTGGCTACAGCAGGCTTCCATACTACTTGTGAGCCTCAGCTTCCCTGGTGGGGTGAGACCAAGACTCCCACCTCACACGTCAGAGCCTTTCCCCAGATTTTCACCTTTCAACCATATGCCCTTTTTGGGTGGTCTCCAATTTAGAGTTTTTTCTACAGTTGTCCATGCTGCTTTTTGATTCCCATTCTTTTCCTGCATCATGATACACTCTCACTCCCTTCAAACTGTTCCACATAGCCTTCAGCTTCATCTGCTGAATGTGAGGCTGGACACTTTAGTGAAGCACTTGCCAAGTATCACCTCATTTAATCCTCAACAACCCTGTAATCAACCCTGTGATCAACAACAATCAACTAACAATATAATTATTAGTCCCATTATACAGGCAAGGAAACCAACATTGAGAGTCAGAGATTGGTGACTTATCCTGATTCCCACATTTAGAAAGCGATGCCTGAATCCAGCTTGAACTCTAAATTCTGATTTTTTAGTAGTCCTACTCAGCTAGCCCCCATGCTTCTTTCCACCATAGTATAAAGCTCATTTCCCCTTTGGGAAAACAGAGTGCTAATTAATGTTCTTACTGATTAATTAGCATATGCAAAGAAGTGAGCCCATGCTATTTGACCAGGTGCTGAACTGCTGAACTGTGTCTGTGCTGTCATCAAAAATCTTCAGAACAATGCTGTCCTTCCAGCATCGAAAACTTCTTGAATACAAACTTTATCCCTGTAATGCAATCTTCCACATGAGCACTAACTAAGTAGGTTTTATTGGAAATAAACTAACAACAAAAACTTAAGTTAAAACAGACTGACAATTACCTGTCTCCGAGAAGGGGAGACAAAAATAGAAGGCTTATTGATCATCCTTCAGACGATTACTATGAGCCTTCAATGTGGCCAAGCTACATGGTCTTCGATTTTCTGCATCAGTTCCACTTTCAAATGTTTTGTCCTATTCCCCTGTTGTTGATTAATAGTTGTCCAACTGTGTGTCCCCATTCTATGTTTGTAAAATATGGTCATGGTACTTAAAAATAAACTTCTATTAAAAAAAAAAAAAAAAAAAACAAACCTGGCCTTAGTTTTGAGGTGTTTTATTTTTGAAATTTGTCCCAAAGGCTTTTTTCTCTGAGACGTGAGGACTCTTTTTATTTGCCTCTATTCCAATCCGTTAAGCCCCCAAACATTCCTCTGCATGGCTGCTGGAAGTTTGCTGCTGACACTCTCTCCAGGTAGCTCCTGCCACCACCCATTCAGCATCGAACCCCTGGGGTTGAGCCTCCAACTTTCCGGGATCTCCATTATTGGATCTTTTTCTTTCTTCTTTTCCCTCTTGCTGCTTACCTTTTAGAAACCATTCTTTTCAGGTCAAAAGTCAGATATTTACACTATTTTAGAAAAGCATCTAAAAGTCATTGCCCACCTCCTTATTTGGCGGAAAGACATGATGGAATATTTGGGTGTGGTAGCAATGAAGGCAGGAGCAAGGGGAAAGTAACCAGAGGAGGTCTCATTACAGTGACCTAGAAGAATTCACTTTACTGGCATCAGTTCTCCTATTTACTCCTAGAAGGCAGCAGCCAGTGGGTCCTCTATGGAATTGTGCTACACTTAAGTGCTCCACCATTTCATACCCTTGTTATGATCTCTTGTAGTTAGATTCCAGTATTTCCTGATTATGAATCACGTAATAGATCACTTTCAGTCAGATGACAGCCCCTACAATGCCATCTAACAAGGGAGAAAGTGAAGGGTAGTAAGATATATGAGACCTTAACCAGCCATTTTCTTGAGAGGCAAGAGAGTACATAGCCTTTGAAGCCAGCAACCAATGTTAAAATCCTGGCTTCCACTTAAGAGCTATAGCATTTTGGATATGTTATTTAACCTCTCTGAGCCTCAGTTTCCCCATCTGTAAGATAAAGATTAAACACCACCACTTAGGTCACTAAGTAATTAAGAGTATTAAATAAGATAGTGCATACAAAGCACTAAGTGCCTAGCATATGGGGAACACTCGTAAAGCCCCTAAGATACATCAGTGAACAAAAAGAGTTCAGTCTCTCTACATGCTCTATATCTTACCTCATATTTGTATAATGATGTTGTGGATTTTTAAAAGGTACCAGAGAGAAGCAATCAGCTAGTTTAGGCATAACGTTTTCTACCAGGGAGAAATAATATAGGTTGCACAATAGCCCACATGAGAAAAAAAAAAAATCATTTTTACCTGTTGTGCTCTCAAAGTAAGTATGCACTTATTCATGGTAATTTTAAAATTCGCTCTTAACCATCTCAGAATACTTTCAATGCAAAATTGTGCCCTCAAATTACCACTGCTAAAATAAAATGTAATTTGCTAAGGACAATCATGTTTGAAAAAAAAAAATCTACCTGAAGCACAACTCAATGGGTTCTGCCACAGTCGGTCAACATTTTCCATTTTGCTTATTTTTGCCACTTCCCTTAGCATGGGCTATTTGTGTTAGTGCCTGTTTTCTAACATCTGTACCTGCACCCACGTAAATGGAAGAATATATTTCTCATATGATAATGGAAAGTCTTCACTTAACACTTACAACTTGACCTTGCCTAGACTGAAGGGAAGCGCTGAAGCGGAAGCTAGTCATCTCTACCTGCTGCCGACAGGTGGCGGTAGCAGTCATGCAAGGTTCTTTTAGTCTTTGCTCAGCTGCTCCACTGCGGTGATTCTCAACTAGCCAGGCAGCATCCTTGTGGTGTCTGTGCTAGGTTTTAAGATATGTACAGACATTAACCCGAAAGCCTGTCTTTTAAGTACAAAACTAAAGGCAGGTTTGAATGTGGTGATAAAAAGTATAAGATGACAATGACAATAGTAGAAACCGAAAAATGATAAACATAGCACTTGTGGTGGAACACACTATTCTAAGACCTGAATGGCTGGCTGCAAAGGACAGTGCATATGTACTAAGTGCTGTATCTAAGCAGTGAACAATAGTAAAGCAAGGAAAATAACTGAATAACTGATAGTATGTAGAAACAAAACAACCCAAAGCAAAATAAAACGCTTTTTTTCTGCCGTTAGGGAATAAGCCCCAGTGTCAAGTGGCAACTAGTCACATGACAATTAACTTAACATTAATGCAGGAGAGGCTAGGATTTGTTGGAGATTTAAAGCAGTGGTTGTCAATCTTAACTGCACACTAGAATCACCTGGGGAGCTTTTAAGAATCCCGAAGCCCAGGCCAATAATCAGAATCCCGAGGGGTGGGACTCAGGCATTAGCAGTGTTGAAAGCTCTTCAGGTGATTTTAATGTGCACCCAAGGTTAAGAACCATTGCCTTCAAATCTAAGCATGGGGAAAATGGGTTGCTACAGGTTCCATGGATTAAAATCTATTTGGATGTACAGATCGATGTGTGTGATGAGTGTTAATACTTTGGCAAGAATTATTTCCCTATGACATTTGTATCTTCAAGGAGAGAAATCACCTGCCTTGAGGGATTTTTCCTTTTATAGTCTTGAAAACCGTATGGGTGAGAACATGTATTGCCAAGGAATAACAAGAGTATGCCTTTCATATACCTATTTGAAGAAAATGTATCCTAGAGCCACAAGCATCAACATCCCTTAGTCATTTCAGTGAGTCCATTTATAAAAAAGTGGACACAAAAAAATTTTCAAAACTATAGGAGTTTCTAGATGCCAGCACCTTTCCCTCACTTTCATCTTTAAAAGATTGCTGGGCACAGTGGCTCACGCCTGCAATCCCAGCGCTTTGGGAGGCTGAGGCAGGTGGATCACACGCTGAAACCCCGTCTCTACTAAAAATACAAAAATTAGCTGCGCTTGGTGGCAGGTGCCTGTAATCCCAGCTACTAGGGAGGCTGAGGCAGGAGAATCACTTGAACCTGGGAGGCGGAGGTTGCAGTGAGCCAAGATCGCATCATTGCACTCTAGCCTGGGCAACAAGAGCAAAACTTTGTCTCAAAAAAAAAAACCAAAAAACAAAAAAACAAGTTTTACAGGAAAACAAATGCATGGTTTAGTCCTCAGTACAAACCCCCAGGCCCTTCTTGTTGCAGCCCCGTTTTACCTTATCTGCCATTATCATAGAGGAGCCCCCGTGGATGCCCAGGATAGGGGTGAGAGTCTGTGCAGAAATGAAATCGAGGATCTGGGCGATGGCTTCCTGGTCTGTGTCATCAGCAAACACCACCCCCTGGATCTTCCGGTCAGACATGAGATCACAGATGCGGGTGATGATGCTCTTTGGGTCGGTCTCATTCATGGCTACCAGTTCCACCCGAGGCACCACGGAGAGATGGTGGAAATCATCTTTCTCGTGGGCATCCTTGATGGCCACCTCGTCGGAAGTGCCCACGAGGATGACAGCAATGCCAATGCTGGGGGGGCTCTTCTGAGAACGAGCTCTGCTGCCTGACACGGCCAGGACAGCCAACACCAACCAGAACTTGGGAGAACAGCACTCCGCTCTGGGCTTCATCTTCAACTCGTCGACTCCCTGCAAACACAAAGAGAGAGGGAGTTAAAATAGGACCCACACTATGTAACCTGTCTTAGAAGAAGCTAGCTACTGCAATTCAAGGACCTTATCTCCTTTCATTGAGCACCAAACCCAACTCCATCTACCAGCCTACTGTCTTATCTCTGGTATTTCCTCTGCAGAATGAGAGAAAATGAAACTTTCAAAAACCTCAGAAATCCCTGAGCAAGGCAATAAAAGGTGCCATTGCTATAGTCATTGGCAGCTACAGACAGAGACAAAAGAGGAAAAGAGATTGTGAGTGGTCCAGGTAGCCATGCGAGTATGCATACACGAGTCTCCTGGCCCTCCTGTTACAGCCCACCCTAGTACTGTTCTTGGGCTCAGGGACAGCAAGGCCAGGAAAAGTGAGCATAAAAACATACTCAGCAGAGGTGAGCAACAGAACATGGGCTGGATAAACTGGATGTGGGGGGGCTATAGGTACACAAGCCTTGCATTCTTGCTGCCTTCACCTTATGTTTGCCTCAATGAGGACGACAGCCAGAAAATTCTTTAGTAACCTTGTTAGTATCTGGCTCTTAATATTAAATTACAAGAACAACTGATACATGACTAGTATTTTTAAAACATTGCCTCAATTGATCCTTACAATGACCCAGTAGGGAATAAAATAAGAAAAACATTATCATCCCCATTTTATAAATGTTGACACCAAGGCTCAAAGAAGATAAGTGTTCTAAGACCATGTACCAATCAATTAAGTGAAACAAACCTGAACCCAGATCTTCTGACTTTTGTATTCCAATATATGTTCCATTACACTACATGGAACTGCCTCTCATATAACCAATTATCATAAGGAACACATATTACTCCGATCTATTTATGCACCAAAATACAGAAACTTAAATACCATTAGCAGCCACATTTGAAAAATGTTCTTTTTTTTTTCTGCTGCCATCCTGTAGCCATGACTTCTCTAAAATGACTGATGCCGTATTTTCATATAATTTCATATAATTCATATAATTTCATATAATTTACCACCTTTTACCTACAAAGAACTCCTTCTTTTTTACTTCCACATATGACCCAAATCTTACTCTATGCAGCAGACTAAGGACATAACGCTCTATAGAATATAAGCCTTGGCCATCTCTCTCTAAGCTTCTCATCATTCTCCAAGAGCTCCCCTTAATATAACTAGTTCTGCTTATGTTGCTTTATTTTAAATAATCAATGTTCACTATTCGGGTGACACCTACACTAAAAAGCCCAGATTTCACCACTATACAATATATCCATGTAACAAAAGCACGCATGTACTGCCCGAATCCATAAAAAATTTTTAAAAAATTTAAAAATCATTTATTGTACATCTTTTTATGCTGCACACTGTGTTAGGCATTTTGTCATATATAATCTCTCTGATCTTCATGGACACCCTATAAATTAGACATTTTTTTCCCATTTATCAAGTAGAAAAACAGAAGCTCAACACAGTTATGTAATTATCCAAGGTCAACGGCATTATAACACCAGCATGCCAATACATAAACACAGCATTTTAATACTCCAAGGCAATATTCTACAAACTGCACCCAGAACCAAAACCAGATTCGCATTCTTCTACAAAGAGAGAGACAGCATGCAATCAAGGATAAAAATGCTGCTTCAGATCTCCTGCTTGTTTCAAAAAAAAAAAAAATGGTAAGAGATTAAAAATCTAAAAATGTTGAGAGATTAGCTAATTTTAAAAATCATGAAGGTATTGAATAAAGAAAGATAAGGAAGTGTTCGGGCTGAGCAGTCAGTCTTGACTGCAAAGGGCGTTAATGATTCGGGAGCAAGATGCTGGGGACATTTTGTGGCTGAAGAAGCACAAAATCCAATCCAGTTCTTGGCATAAAACATTTTGGAACTTTTACTGGTGTAGTCATCCTTCAACACTGCCAAGAAGGAGGCCTGTATTGATTGCCTTGTCTTTCTCTCGCAAATAAGATGAGTAGCTCAGTGGTTCATGCCTGAGCAAAGTTTACTCCTGAAAGTTTTCTGATCTCAGTGTCTCTGTGAAAACAGAGAATGACTCCACAAGCCCTGGAAACCTTTGCTGATGGACTGTATCCAATTTAGCAGGGGAACCAGGGCCTGAATTCCTCCTCCCAGAACTTAAAGGAAAGCAACACTAGATAGACAATTGAGTAGCACTGATATTCAGAGGAAGCAGAAGGGGTTTAGCACCACAAAGAGCTGTGCACAAACTACATACACATACACACACACACACACACACACACACACACACACACACACACAGAGTTCAATTCCAATGACTGGTTCTCAAGGAAAGCCAAAAGATTTACCATTTGGCAAAACTATAGGCTAACTTCATTCCAGTAGTATTCTAATCCTAGTTACAAGTCACTAAATTAGTTTCCTTCACATTTAAAAGTGGCCCACTCTGCCATGACAGTTTATTAACTTTAATGCACTCCACTCTCCCACTTTGATGTTTTATTTGCTCTCTAAAATATCTCTTGTGTTCTTCTATTTTGTCTCACACAATATATTATCTTTGGCTATGCAATGGCTAGTTGTGACACCCAAAGAATAGTGTCTGGTTTTACAGAGCATCTCATTTATACTCAGGATACAGCGAAGCACTTTACAAAGCAATACATTATGGGAGATAACAGTAACAGAGGGTCTGTGAGACAAAAAAAGAGGCTACTTTGAATACAGACTCAATTTCAAACATTAAAAGGGGATTCGTTGAGAGAAAGCATGTAGTTCAAGATAAGCAGAGTGGCTTTGCTCCCTTCCTCACAGAGACCATGGTAAGTCTTGATGCACCTGCTCTAGGAAGTCTTGCTCCCCCTGTAGAATTGAGCATTGCTTCCTTTGAGCTCTCACCATAGCCTGCATGTATTTATCTAAATATGCATAAGCTTTTATTATCAATATATGATGATGTGTCCACCTACTTTAACTAGTTGATAACCTCCTTGTGAGTAGGGACTTTTTCAGATCAGTAAGCATTTATTGAGCACTTATAACCTAGTGAACTTTTTTTTCTTTTTTCTTTTTTTTTTTAAGTGGTGAGGATGCAACAGATACAGATTCTATCCTTCAGGACCATGGTCTAGCACAAGACACAGACACAGACCCATAAAGAAAATGTTGCCTCACTTTATTCATATTCTTGAACTCTAACAGTGCCTATATGCAATAAGGAAGGACTCAATGAATGGTGGCCAATATTGAGTTTCTACCATTAGGTTGAACCATATAAAATTGTTAATATTTGACCATTTTTGACCTATAATAGTTCAACCTGCTGTGTGTCAGATATTACTATTGCCAGGTAATTTTCATGCATTATTAGATACTCACAAAAACATTGGAAGTCATACTTTCCCTTTATCACAAATGAGAAAACTGAGAGTTAAGTACATGACCAAGATTACACAGTTAATAAGGGATGGCATCAATTTTCAAACCCAAGTTTGTCTGGATCCAAAGCCCTTCCTCTTTCCCTTCCAGGGCCTCTCAGTATAATATGAGTGTTGAGTGAATGAATGAATGAATGAATGAATGAAAGAAATCACCAACCAAAACCAACTGGTGTTTTAATACCAGTTCTGCGTTAACACAGTGCCTGAGGATGGGCGAGTCACCTAATTACCATCTCTATGCTATCATCGGTGAAACCAGGATAATATACCTAACCTACATACCTGAAAGATTTTTGTGAAGATCAAATGAAAATATGTATATGGAAGTGCTTTGAAGAATCTAAAATACTCTACAGATGCAAAGGATATTACGTTTAAGCTTCTATAGAAGCTGTTCAAGGAGCCTAGCTATTTATGATAGCACAAAGTGAGTGTGTGGGAGGTGAGGGTGAAAGAATGGCAGACAGAGGCTGAAAGGAATGTTAAGAGGAAACTCGCATGCGGCAAAAGATATTAGTTCCCTGAGTGATATAATCCCTGAAGATGATGTCACACAATGGCCTCGGGGTAGCAGCGACCTCCACTGACAGCTTACTAGTCATGTAGATTAATTCAGGAGTCACTCCGGCCAGGGCCAGTATTGGGAATCAGTGGAGCTCAGCATATCCAAATCATGCCATGAATTCAGAAACCAGGGTGCACCAGCAGGACTAGCAACAAAACAGCAGGATTAGAGAGTTGACTGTTCACTCATTTGGCTCTTTGCATCCTTGAAGCTTAGGCTAAGTGATCCCGAGATCCACAGTAAACAAAAGGCCACAGGAGCTTATCTTCATGCCGGTAACTGGTACAGGGTAACTATAGCAGGAAACAGTCTACACTTTGCTCAGAGCAGGCTCTAAGGGAAGACACATCTGGGTGGGAAGCCAGGCCAACCCTGTCCTCAGAAAACTGAGTCCTGGGGCAATCCCAACTGGAAGGATATAAAATGTGACTTAATCAATAATTAAGTCAAAAATATTCCAAGCACCATCCTTTAATGCAGTTAGGACATTATTTAGAGTGATTCAATTAAGGAGATTATGACTGGAATATGACAGGCAGTGAGTGAAGTTAATATTAAAATGCCAGAACTATGTATCAGGTCCAGTTTCCCAAGCTACCAATAAAGACAGAAAGTTAGGAGACAAAGGCTTAAAATGTGTCACATTAGAGAGTGGGGAAACAAGAATTCTCATATAATGGAACAGGAGTATAACCTTTTTGGAGGCCAAAGTGGTAGTATCTATCGAAATTTTAATATCAAGACAAAGTAAAATTCAAAGGCAAAAACATCAAAAGGGACATTAAGTGATATCACATATAGGTACCAGGAAGATGCAATCATTATGAACACATATTCATGTATAAGGCAACAACTAAAATTTACATGGGAAGAAACAGACAAATCCAACTGACAAAAGATCTTATTAACTAAGACATAAAAGATTTTTTTAAAGCATGAGTTACAAGTTTGAACTAGTTTGGATACCTAGAAATGCATATAGAATAGAGAATAGA